GGCAAGCAGGTAGGAAGCCCGGCCGTACTCGCACCTGCACCTGCACCCGCCCTCTCGGCCACCGCCTGCCGCTTCGGATCCGCCAATGAGACGCCGAGGAACGCCGTGAGCTCATCAGGAGGAGCTCCGATTGGCTGCTGCCGCCGCGCAGCTCGACTCTCCCTCCGTCCCTCGTCGCAGGGACAGCGGCGTTCCGCAGGCTGGACGCGAGGTCGGTCCTCCCGGCTGGGGATGGGTGGGTGCCTCCCCTTGGAAGGTGCCGGCGCCCTTCTGACCGAGCACTAAGTGCTTCTTGCGGTCAGCCGAGGCGCCGTGTTTTTGCGGCTTCTAGCAGTTCTCATCATGCCAGGAGAGACCTCCTCCAACCGCACAAGCGAGAAAGAGTGCCTGGCTCTGGGCGAGCTGGTGGACTGCACTCGACCCACTAATGACTGGCCCCGCGTGCCATAGGAGCAGGATGTCCCACCAATCCTCAGGAGCAGGCCTACGTTGTCAGCATGACTGGGGTGTTGCAAACATCTGATTTGAGGGGTGAAGGGGAGACATGAAAAGTGTATGCTTCCTGGTGATCTGTAGGTCAGATAAACCTGTATCCCCAGCCAGTCAACTGGCTCTTTGTGGGAAAGAGGGGCCCCTCCACAATGGGGGTGGCCTGGGGCTGGAGCATCTGAACTGCAACCCTATTTTGAGTCAGTGGTGTGGGAAAACTCATTACAATTCTGCTATAGATGGTAGTGGCTGGTGAGCACACAGGATAGACCTGGGATTCTTTTCCGAGAGTTAGCTTCAGGGATTGCCTCCTTCAGGAAGGCTTCCCGGAATGCCCCTGGGTAATTCCTAGTGCTCCTTAAAGTCCACTGGCAGAGCTGTCACTTCTTTGTGCACTAGTTGCCCTGGGGACCGAGCCACACCCCACAGTGTTGTATCTTCTAAGCCCAGCACCAGGCCTGTAATAGGTGCTTGATAAATGTTTGTGGCTTGGACAGTGCCACTTGGCACGCCTTGTGCAGAGTCTATCAAAGTCCTTCACGCAAAAGGAGAGTCAGTTCCTTTCTAGTGCTTCCGTTGCTGGAGTGAAAACTTAAGAACCGTTTGCTAGTAGGACCCCCTAGAACTAGCATGCCCCCGTGCATCTCTCGCTCCTGGCTGCTCTGAACAACTCCAGGTTAGATCCAGAATAAACGCACGTGTTTTGCCCTCTTAAGTGTGAGAAAGCCCCTCATGAAGATTCCCATTGCTATTCCTATGACACAGGCTTAAACCAAAGCTAGCTGCATGGCCACGGCATACCAAGCCCAGGCACGGGTGGTGTGGACGGAGAGGAGGGGAGAGCACACAGGGGCTGCCACAGCTTTGTCCCGAGTGGGAGGTATGGCATGAGATGCTCTCCACCCTGAACAGGCACCCCAGCTGGGGGACCAAGATGGCTCCTGGGGGATTTTCTGGAGCTGGATGAGGACATTCTGAGATTTTCCCACCCTGGTTCTGAACCATGCCCACAAAGCAGGGGCAATTTCAGCTCACGATGGTTTCAGCATGGCGTGCCTCCAAGCACTGTGGGGGAGGGACTCCTGACTGTGGGATGTTGGACCCAACTTACATTGAGCTTGACCATTGGCATGGAATTGAAGTAGTGGTCTCTGCTGGGCTTTGTGAGGCAGAGTTAGCAGAGCCTCCTGGAGCACCAACATGATTTCTATACTTGTAAAGTGGAAGGTCACCTTCAGGCCCCAGTCTGCGCATGTGTCCTGCCATGCTGGGGCCCTCCCTGAACTGTCAGGCAGCCAACCAGCCTCCTACGTCTGGCTCTCCCTGTCAGATGGATGGTGCCAGATGGCAAAATTAGAAATGTCAGCCCCAGTGCCACTGCAGCACTGTCTAGCAAGTTTCCCTGATGATTTATCTCCGAAGTAGTGACCACGGCCCTGGACAGGTGCAGGTGGCTCTTGAAAAGAAAGTCAGAGGACCCCAGGGAACTGCCCATAGGCAGAGGCAGCCCAGAGTCCTGCTGAGTCCAGGTTCAGAAACCCTACTGCAAACCACAGCCCTGCGACAGTTTTTGCAAATAGTTGTCTTGTTTGCAGGCCTGGGCACTAGAGGATTGCCAGGGTTGAAGAATGGGTAATTCTGGGACGGCAGTCACGTTGTGGGATATTACATACCAGAGAAAAGGAGACACAGTCATGCTCAACCACACGGTGAATCTAGAGATAAAAAAAGAGAGGACAGAATAACCACAATGTTTCCAGAGTTCCCCAACACACAGAGCCGACTATATCATGGGGAGTGCTACGTAGTAGGTTGACAAGAAGTGGCAGAAGCTAGAAAACACAGCCAGGGTGTGACAGTCTAGAGGTAGTGAGTCTAGGGAAGCCAGTTAATTCCACTGGAGGACGTTTGATTTTTCTATAGGTCCCTCTTGGTGATAAAGGAACTGCTGCCTCCATTGCTCGGGCCTTGGGCTGGCAGGCTGCAGCGTGCTTTCCAGCTGTTGGCGAGCAGTGTCGCATGCCCACCCACGGCACCGACTGCCGTGGCTCACGCCTCCTGTGGCTCCTGAGCAGCAGTTCCCTGGCTTTGGCAGCCAGAGGACAGGGCTGTTGCTGTGGCAGATGGGGCCAAAGGGGGAGGTCCAGGCTTAGAAGGGGTTGTTTTCTATGTTGGCACACTGGGGCCCTGTTCCTGGGTTTCCAGCTGCTCCCTCTGAAACCTGAACCACTGGCTTCCTTCCGGATCTTTCCCTGGGCTGCTCAGGCCTGGAGTGTGCCTGTCAACCACAGTCTCACCGCCTTCCTTCTGCTCACTGATTCAGCAACAACTGACTGAACACTTTGAGCCAGCACTCTGAGTGCTGGGGACAGGTAGTGGACACAACCACACAGAAACGCTTGTCCCAAAGGACTGGGCTTCTGGTGAGGGGACACTGGCCATCTATACTCAATCAGTCCATCGAGCCTCAGTGGTATCAAAAAGAACTGAAGTTGAGTAAGGGGGTGAGGGAGTGGATGGCAATGGGGGAAGGGAAGTTTGGATCAGGTGGTCAGGGCAGGCCTCTCTCAGGATATGGCCTGGGACAGAGCCCCCATCCCCAACCCCCTTCCTCCTCCAGGGAGTAAGTATCTGGGGAAGAGCCCCTCAGGCCAGACCAGGGAGCAGCAAGGGGGAATGAAAGCCAAAACGTGCCTCCTTCCCTGGGACTCCCACCCCACACAGGGCAGTGTTTTGTGCTCCATGCCTCTGCCACTCGGTCCCTCTCCCAGGCTTTCATGGGAAGAGGCCTGGGAGCTGTATAGACCCCGGGCCTTAGCCGTTGGCCTGAGCCTACAGCCCATCTCTGCTGCTCCCGGCGACCCAGCCTTCCTCACTTGCTGCAGTGTTTGGCCCACAGGCTGTGATTTTTCACATCCTTGTCAAACCTGTAATACCTGACTGCCTGGAGAAAAGGGATCTGGGCTTAATGACTGTGATTTGCCTGACTGACTTCCTCTGCTCCCATTTGCCTGGGTGCCACCTGCGGGGAAGCTCACCTGGAAAACAACTTCGGACTTTCTCCTTGTGGATCACTGCACCACTCTGGTGTCGTCTGCCATGGCCGCCCGAGACCTCACAGAGGTCTTCCCTCCCACACTGTGATGGCCCAGAGGGTCCCAGTGCCCGAGGCCTCACTGGCCACTCGGAGCTGCACGCTGAGCTGGTTCTACAGGAGGCACCTCCTTGTCCCTCCTTACATCACTTAATGGCTGGGTGTCAGGGTCCTCAGTAAACTGAGATCCATACTGTTTTGGATATAATTGTCATTTAAATGTTTGTTCATTTGAAAGGCAGAGAAGCAGGGCAAGATTTCCCATCCATGGTTCTCTCCCCAGAAGCTCACAGTGGCCTAGTTGCCAAGAGTCATCCACATGGAAGTCAGAGACTTAAGCTATCACCTGCTCCATTCCAGGGCAGGCATTAGCAGGAAGTCGGAGTCAGGAGCTGGGCAGATGCAGTATCCCAAGTGGGGTCTTAACACACCAAACGCTTGTCCCCTGTCCCCCAATAAATGTTCTTTACAAACCTTGACACTGTGAGAAGAGACGAGAGGAACTGTGTGAGCGTTCTTGGAAAGCTGGAGGAGTAGCACCCCTGGATGGGATGAGGAGGAGGTCTCTGTGCCCACGCGTAGCTGGGCTTGTGCCGTGTGCCCTGCCAGTACCACGGCTTCCTTCTCAAATGTAGGGCTCAGAAGCCAACACCCTCGCCACCACTGGGTCCCTGGCCCAGCATCCAGGGCCATTCTTAACAATGGCCACGGGGCACCACAGGAGCTCCTGCTTCACCCCTGTTTTGGCCTCTTGGCTGTTTCTACAACCCTCCAAATCTGTGCACTTGCCCTCTGCCAAGTGTTACCTCCGGGGGCCCATCCCTGACCCCGCACGGACAGTCCCGGCACCCCTTGGGTCTCCTCCCTGTGAATCCAGACAGCCACACTTGAACTCTCCCAACTGAATGCCTTGTTTGGCTAACTTATTACTTTGACTGTAATGTAAGCATAAGGGAGGAATTTTGTCTTTTTAGGTGGCAGTTGTGTCGCCTGCACCTGAAATCCTGCCCAGCACAGGGCAGGTGAGGGAAGCCACAGTTCAGTCCCTCTCCAGCTACAGGGCTGGCAGAGACCCCAAGCCAGCCTGATCCGGTCTGAACCCATTCCAGGACAAGCAGGCAGGCCCCCCGCCTTGTACCACAGCACCCGCGGCCCGTGCCCCCTCGGCCGGCCAGGCGGGGGACCTTCCCCTACCTCAGGCTTTGCCCTTGCGCGTGGCCTTTATTCCTGAGGGTCAGCCGCGAATCTCGCCTGAATCCTTCCTCAGGTCCACTCTGCCGCCTCAGCAGCCCGAGCGCTCCTGCCCGGCCTCCCCCTGGCCCGGCCCGCGCTGCGGCTCCGGCCCTGGCCGGCAGGGGCCGCTCCTCGCGGCGCCCGGGGCCCCGCCGCGCCCGCCGCCGCCGCCTCCCGCCTCCCCGCCCCTTCCCCGGCCGGCGCTCCCGTTACGCCGCGGAGCCGGGAGCCGGAGCCCGAGCCCGCGGCGGCAGCCGGAGGCGGCGAGGGGGCGCCCCGGCGGCGGCGGCGGGCGCGGCGGGGCCTGCGGGGCCTGCGGGGCCTGCGGGCGGGCGGGCCGGGCCCGGCCAGGCCGCGATGGCGACCAAGAAGGCGGGCTCGCGGCTGGAGACGGAGATCGAGCGCTGCCGCTCCGAGTGCCAATGGGAGCGGATCCCCGAGCTCGTCAAGCAGCTGTCGGCCAAGCTCATCGCCAACGGTACGCGCCGGGCGGTCGCCTGGGCGGCTGGGGGCGCCGCGGCCTCCGCCGGCGGGGCCCGACACACGGGACGCGGGCACGGGCGCGGCCTGGCCGCCGCGGCCCAGGGGATGTGTGTGGGGCCGGGGTTCTGAGGAGCTGGGGGTCCGGGAAATCAGGCGGTGTGGGGGTCCCGAGGTGTGGGGAGAGGAGGGGCTGTGCTTGCTCCTGTGGACACGGCGCGGGGAGCGGTGCAGGGGCTCACGGTGTCAGTGCAGCATCTGGACCTCCGGGGTCATGGGTGGCCTTGGGTTTCTAAGAAGTTGGTGGTGATGTGCGAATGCCCTCTGGACATGGGTGTGAATGTGTGTGTGTGTGTGGTGTGCCCCCAGAGTCAGGATGTGTTTATGGGAGATATTGAGCAGAGACCCCCTGGGAAATAGGGTTTGTAAACACAGTGTTCATGGGGGTCCTGGTGGGGGAAGCTCCAACTTGGGGTGCATGGGGTGGTGGGAGGCAGGTTGGGGGTGTGAGTTCAGGCTGCAGACTTGGGGAGGCCTAACCGCAAATACAGGGGGCATAGAGGCACAAGGGAAGGGTAATGTGGGAGAGGTGAAGAGGGAGTTGAGGAATGTTGGTAGGGAGTGAGGGGTCCAGGGCCTGGCTTGGGGGGTCTAGGAGGGGGTCCTACGGCTGCCCCTGAACGGGAAGAGCCAGGAACTGGAGCTGGTCCACGACACAATTGACTGAATTGCTTCTTGTACCCAATCAGATCAAAATCACATCCCAAATCCCAATCCAGAGCACAGCTCCACGTGGCCTTATTTGTTTTGGAAGCAAATACCTTTAATATTTGCTTGCCTGTTAGCACCCGCCAAAGCCGCAGTCACCAGCAGACTGGCAGGAGGGCTCAGGGTTCGTCTGATGTCATCTCTGGCTTTCCCAGGGCTGAACAAGTGAATGAAAGGGCATGAATGGCACTGCCTACTTAAGGAAGGGCATCCAAACTATTTTTTAACCTTCTCATCGGACTCTACCCATAGGTGGAGAAGGAGGTCTCCCACCCACTCCAGGGGTGGTCTGAAGGTGTGCCTTCAAGTAAGGACTAGGGTGTGGGCACTCCCAGTGATGGGGCTTTGCTCTGGGCAGGTGGTGCTCTGGGGTGCCAGGGCGTGGAGGAGGTACATACCTTCGCTGGGCTCAGCCTAGAGGAAGTGTTGGCTCTTGTTGGTCGGGTCAGCATGTAGGAGAGGGTTAGAGGTGGCGTGACCTTGTCGTCTCTGCCAGGTGCTCTGGCCGGCCTGCTGGCTTCTCACCTGAAGCTTTTTGTCTTTCTGCTGGGAATTGGCTTGGCCTGGGTCTGCTCACTTGCTTCCCAGCTGCGTGGGCATAATGATACCTTCTGTGTGGGCTGATGTTAGCATCTGATGGGCTCATTTGTGAGCATCCTGTTTTTTTTTTCTCTTCCACATCCACTTGTTCCCGGTTCTCTTTTGCTCTGGCAAGGGACATTCACACGCCCACTTGTGCCAGTCATGATACCGTGGGGAACAGCCTTGACCAAGCCCTTGTTCTCATTGTGCTTACCCTCCTCGGAGATGGAGACAGATAATATGAGAATAAAGGAACAGGATGTAAGCAGGAAAGAAGAGTTCGTGTGAGTGAGAATGACAGGTGGGAGAAGCAAGGGGCTTCTGGGCCACGGTGAACTCTGCACTTAGTGGGCCCGTCTTGTTCACCCTCGTGGCTCCTGCAGGGCTCAGCCCTCCCCCCAGGGCCTCAAGCCACAGCCGTGAATGGGGCCTGCGGGATGTGAGGCGTGCCGGGCATTGTGGTTCATGGGTTTAGTTTGGGGAAGTGCATGAACGCATGGAGGATCACATTTTGTCCCAGAAACTCAGGTGGTGAGCAATAGTTGCTGAGGACAAAAGGTTACCCAAACGTGAAAAGGTCAGCAAGATTGCCCAGGAAGGTTTAAAAAGACTAATGCTTAAGCAAAGAGAACAGGTGAAACAACCCGGAATTGCTGCGGCAGAAAAGCACCTAAAGATGTGTGCTCCCCTTCTTTTGGCTGGAAGGGGCTGGTAGTGGAACATTGTCGGGCTTTGGGGACCCTCTTGGATGCACTAGTGCTGGGCAGATTCGGCTAGATTCTGCTGTTGTAGCGTTGCTGCCTGGAGTGAGGAGGCCGGTTAGTGTCCTCCTAGTTACGCACTGACAGCTGCCCTGGAGGCGGGAAAGGGCAGTCTTTACAGCTGGCTGGGGCCTGGGCTCTGCTGCTTCCGGACTCTGTGACCTTGGCCAAACCACTTAGCCACTCCAAGCCTCCGTTCCCTGGTTCTAGGGTGGGACTTACCTCATAGGGTTATTGTGAGGGCTACAAAGCAGCTAATGTCGCCCAGTGCTGACTCCGGAGCCTGGCATTTTAGTAGGCAGGCTTACTTATTCGTCCATTCCACAACTATTTACCACCTGCTAGGCTCTCGCTCTGGGTTAGGCACTGGGGCTTTCCCAGTGGCTGCAGCAGACAGAAGCAACAAAAAGGGCTGCCGTGTTGAAGCCCCTGTGGTAGGGGAGGAAGGGGCAGGCAGGCCGATAAGAAGTCCAGTGCCTGAGTACAGCGTGCGGGCTGTTGAATGGTGGTAAGGGTTTGCTGAAGAATGTCGGGGGAAAGGAGAAGAGGGGTTTTGTGAGTGGGCTGCAGGCAGGGGCGCAAGAGCTTTGTCACACAAGGAAGGCTACACCGGGAAGGCAGCCTCCAGATAAGACGCAAGGGGCCAACTCCAGGGAGGAGTTGGAGCCAGATAGGGGCCAGGGGGGGGGGCACTCATTTTCAGCGCTCCTGCTGGCCACGGCCTCCTGTGTCAGAAACAGGGGTGCTCCGTGTGAAGGGAGCCCAAGGCCTTTCCTCATGAAAGTCCCTGGGCAGACAGCTGCTACTCCTGCATGACCTTTTGGACATCCATTGGTTTGCACATTTTGCCAAGACAAAGAACAACCGAGTTGAAAACAGAACTCAAAAACCCATCACCCTATCTCACCCCCCATCACTATTATTGTTTTGGTCATCTGTCTCAATATCCAGGATCCTGCCATTGCTAACCCTGTGCCGGGCCCTGGCAAGCCCCACCTGAGAGTGGTGTTGTGTCAGCTAAGTGTGTGTGTGTGTGTGTGTGCATGTGAGCTCATGTGAAGTTCTACCCAAGTCCCGGCTCCCCTGCCCTGGCTCCCCTGCCCTGAAGGGCACCCTGGCCAGCAAGCAGGCAGAGAACACATGGCAGTGCCGACTCTGGCCCAGGGTAGAAGTAGAGGACACACAATGGCTTCTTGTTGGCTTGCAAACATTCCTGGCTCCTGGAAGTTCAGTGCCACCTGTCCCCTCGTCCCAAAATGTCATCTTCCAGCTCGAGTGACCATCATTTTCCGCTGCTGTGTTATGATCATACACTGACCTGAACTTGACTGGTAGCTGGTAGATGACCTTGAGCCAGTTAGCGACCTCCCAGAGCCTGCCCTTCCTTGTGGATAAGATAGAGTTTATACTACCCGTGCTTTTAGGGTGGCTGCACAGTCTGTGGGTTGATGGACGTAAACCTTGGGACATGGAAGCAACAGGGGTCTTCAAGAGTGTGGGAAACTGGGATGAAAAGATCAACTATTTGGTGCATAGTTGTTTTCTAATCTGCATTTTCCAGGAACTTTGAGTTGTCCTTGAGCAGACACCATTCTGTGGGGCTAACTCCTGGATGGCCCCTGGGCTAGATGGGCAGGGTCCTGGGTGTCCACCTGACTGAGGGAAATGCCACTGCTGCACTGGTGCCTGGCAAAGGTGCCCCTTGAGATTTCAGTGTTGGTAACAGGCCTTGCAGAGGCCTGCGCCAGCTCCGGGCACCCAGCACTTGTTTTCCAGGGATGTGGGCCTGCCCTGTCGCTCTCTAGACTGTTAATCCTTTTAGGTGAGCTCGGTTACTGAGCCCACTCAGGCACATGATGGTAGTTTCTGTTTCAGTGACCCACGGTCCATTGTAATGACCCGGTTCTATCTGGGGACATTTGGATTCTGTCTTGGTGATAAAGGGTTGGTAAGGAGATGGTGGCTGAAGCCGGCCACCTCAGGAAACATGACTGGTTACAAAACATATGTAAACCATAAGGTAGGGGTTGGGGCCCATGCCTGGAGCTGCTGTCTCTGTGGTTGAAAGAAGGACATGTTTTGCATGCTGGCTTCTCCTCCTAGGGCAGGGCTGGGCTCCTGGACCACTCCCTGCCCCTGCTGTAGCCCTTGCCAGGTTGCCCGGACAGCAACCTGGGCCTCAGGGATCTCTGGAAACAGACCCGGTTCCACTGGCAGTTTCTGCTGTGGGGTGAGGAGCTGGCTTTGTTGATTAGGGCTTGACACCTTCCCAGGGCCCAGCAGTCCCCGGGGAATCAGGCTGCTCTGGAGGGTGGGGAAGGATACCCCTGAGACCCTGGCCAACTACTATGGGGACATTGGATGTTGTGGGACACTCCAGGCTGTGGGCGACCCAGCATCAGCACAGGGCCGTACTCTCCAGGGGGAATATGGACTCTGAGTAGCCTCACATCACTTCTGCTCAACAAATGAGCAACAGCAAAACCCAGCTTTTGGTTTTAGGAGAGAGTTCTGGACTTCTGAAATGTCAGATGAGGCAGCATAAACCCCGTTAATGGTTCTTGGCTTGTTGGGAGGCTGTTGGGACCAAGTGCGGGAAGAACCCAGACTCCCTGACAGTATGGGCATGTGGGGTGGTGCCTGCCCACTGGAACATGCCCAGTTGTGGTCCTGTCCGCTCCCTGGCCCAGGGCTGGCCTGGCCTGTGCCTGTGGCTTCACCCAGCGGCCTGCTGCTAGCAGGCCACACTAACAGGCCGTGTCCCACCTTTGGAGCCCCACACTGTGGAGTAGGACTGCTGGTGTGCCCCTCCCTCAAGTAGCACATTAGCCCAGGATGCTGAGGGTTGGAACAGGCCCAAGGAAAGAAGGGCTTCCAGAGTAGGGGC